TTACCAGTGACAACTTCTATTTTTGTTTGTATAAATCTAATATTGCTGAAAGCTGTAGATTAGTGTTAGTCTTTGGCTGACTTCAACGAATGCGTGTGGACAAACCTTGACCTCGTCGGCCCGTCTGAAGCGCTTCAGCTGCCGAAGCCTCATGTACTCAGACTTCACCCTCCTCTTCCAGCAGGCAGGACCTTTCTCCGAGCGCTTCCCCGTCAGCACCATGATCAACCTGCAGCCAAACAGAAGGAAAGAGGAAGAAGGTAACAACAATTACCTCACAAATCAGCCCCTCCAGGACTTTGCGGGCCTTTTTTGTGATTGTTGCAGCCTAAAATACCTGATTTTGTGGCATTTTCTAATAAATTGCGATGAAAGTTTCAATGTTTTGGGACATTTTTTGCGATGAAAATGTGGGAATAAGTGGCCGGGATGGAGCAGCCTGTGTGACAGTGATTTGTCTCATTCTGTCATCCAAGAATTTTTTCTCCCACCACTACAATACAGCATGTTTTGCAAAACAACCCCCACTTTCGTAAAGATCTGGATTCTGTTCTTCACGGTCCTTCGCTGTAATTTTTGTAAGCAACTGTGACACTTCGGTATCACACGTGTCTTCTGGTTCTTCCAATCGAAACAAGGAAGTGAGTTTGCTGACGTATGAGAACGCTTTGGAGCAACAATAGGTCAAATGTGGAGAAACGTTGCGGTGATGGGAACAAATTTCAAGTCAGGCTGAATCCCCAGGGATTTCTTGAATTTCTGGCCCTAGCTGCGATCGTGAAATCCTGGCAGAACAAAAACTGTAAATGGTCGTTTTCAAAAATGTGTGTTCAGTAAAATGTTTGCTGAATCTTTAAGACAGTGTACAGGAGCTTTTCTTATCATTTCCTTTATTAATTAATTCTGGTTGAACTCTTGCAATATTTGAAACCTGGACATCAACAGTTTTCTATACATTGGAGGACTTTGTAGAACATATGAAAGATATGGAAAGTGAAGTCTCAACTGACCACAGATTGCTTTCTAATGAAGTGTGTAATCACACATGTCTGCATGCAGGTACAGAGTAATGTAGAGGATCTCCATGTTCTTTTGTCTGAATTGCAGAGGGGGAAGTAAAATCTGGGCTGTGATTCAAATGTCTGGAACGAGGCCCGGCTTAAAGACTCACAGCAACAATGTAAAAAAAAAAAAAAAACAGCTTCTGTTCAGCTCTCACTTCTGTGTTCACGTGTCAACACTGAAGATGGTTAAAATGCAAGTGGCGGGGTTTTCCTGTCCCCCTTTTGCCAAATCTGCTGTTCACTGGGGGAAGTTTTAACAGGAAATCCATGTGTTTACAGTCGTCTGTTCACATGTAGCAGCAAGATGCATTTGTCACCCCGGCAGTCTGCCTATCAGCCTGACTGGTCTGACTGAAATCTCACACTCTGAATTAGACATGTCAGACGGCTGTCATGGATACATGACGAAGAGGTGGAGGGTAGGAGGTAAGACACATTTTGCCACAGATAATCTTCAAACCACAGAATGAGTCAAGATTACAAGCAGCCAAGTACACAAATGAAAGTTTAAGTATGGTTGGCTGGCAATGATACCGATTTAGGAACCACACGAGAACCAGTACTCTGGTACCAAAATTTCGAAACCGTGTCGGTATTCTTCTTGCTAGGTACATTACATTTATTCATTCAGCTGACGCTTTTATCAAAAAACGACTTACATTTGCCATGTTTGTCAGAGGTCGCACACCACTGGAGCAACTAGGGGTTAAGTGTCTTGCTCAGGGACACACTGGCGGATGTGTCAAAGAGTGGAATTGAACCCAGGTCTCTCACACCAAAGGCACGTGTCTTATCCACTGCTCCATCACCATCCTAACTTCACACCGGCAATCCGACATGTGGAAGATAACGACAAGTGTGGTGACAGCTCCGCTTCCACTCGTCGATTAGAAACAGTCACGAGTCCAATGAGCCTAACTTTTTGTTTTTCAACAAACAATTTCATACCACTGCCAACACAGGTAGTGACCACCCTTAAACATTTCACACCTGGGAGTTTGTTAAGAAAAGCAAACTATGCACAGCACACAGCTTGCTCATTTATGAATATATTGACATCAAACCACCTCTCATCTGTCCTGGACATCCTCTCACAGCTGTTAGCTCAATAATTCAAAGAACATGGGATTTATTGCTTTGTTTTTACGGTGGTATCAAATTGTGGAATTTTACTGGTATCAGTATCAACTAATACATTTTTGGTGTTGTGGAACTTTTAGTCTGGCTTCACTTTGACAGGTAAGACAAAAGCTTCCTGGTCATGTATCAGCAACATGTGTGTTTTCAGGTTTTAGTGAGAGCCAAGTGGACCAATATCGCACCCATAAGGCAGGTAGACAAACATCAAAGAGAGAGAGAGAATAGAGTAAAGCTTTTGTTTTCTCTCAGCACCCAACATGGGACAAGCCCTCAAATGTGACACGTAACGACGCTGACACGAATGTGTGAAGTGTCAATCACTTTCTATAAGTTCAATAATCACCCTGGGTTCAATAATACCGTCCACAGAGATCACTGCTCTCAGTCTCTCACTCGTCATCTAACTATACACTTTAAAAGCAACCAGTAAAACGACAGAACGTCCAGAAAAATGGGGGAAAAAACAGTTTTCAACCACCTTTCTGGGCGTGCTAGCTACACACAACAAGCGAGCTTCAAGCTAACGATAGCTTGCCGATGTCGTGCCAAGTTTGTAACCCCCTCAAACTGTGTTTCCCCCCCACATTACAGCCCTTTTCACCGTGGTCCAGTTATATTAAAGCCTTAATATACACAATAGACTGTATATAAAAAGGTTTACACCATGTCAGAAAGGGTTTCTTCCAAAGAACCACGCTGAAGAAGTTGGCGTCTTTACGAGGGGAATCAATTCTGCGAGGGTAACAGAATTTGGCACGACACCTCGGCGAGCTACAGCTAACAGTTTGTTAGTTAACAAAGATTGAGGCGTCCACAAAGCATCAAGGACAGACCCGGGCCATTTGAATCGCAAACAAAAGGGCGCTGAAATAAAAAGCAGCACTGACAGCTTCTCTCACCTGCACAGGAGACTCAGTCCTCATTCAACGGAGTGATCCGGGATCGATGTAACAAACACTGGCAAAGTCGTCCTTTGTGTTGCGGGATTAGCCGGCTAGCTGTAGCGTTAGCTCGGCGGCTAAAGGCTAGCAGTTAGCTCGGTAGGAGGGAGCGATTCACTTTGCGCGACACCGGCTTCACCAGAGTCGAAGAGAGGGGGGGAATAAAAGCTGCCGGTTCCCTACTTTACGTCAAGCTTTAGCATAAAACACACCGTGTTTACGAAGGCGAGTCACGTCGTTTAATTTGACCCCTGACTGTAAGAAGAAATTGTTAAATTTCAATGTTTCCGCCTCAGCAGAGCAACGGTTCAAACGGCTCACCGTCTCGCACCAACCGCCCACTAGCACGGCTGCTGCAGCAGATTCAAGAGGCGCCAAACGTGTGGGCCAATCACAGAAGCCGACGTTAGGGCTCCCCAGTGTGGTGCCACGCGATTGGTTGGAGTTGCATCACGGTGGCAGCCAATGAGACTTAAGAGTAGCGCCGGCCTGCAACAGGGACATGTGGACAGGTTCCCTTTGTTCTCTCATATGTCAACGGGCTAAAAATCAAAACACTGAGTAGATTGGCAGCGAAATTATTAACGACGGTACTTTATGTTTGATTTCCTGCCAGTGTCGCTGACTCGTGTCAGTTGTCATAGAAATGTCGATGAGATAAAAACGTTGAATAGAAAGGTGACATTAAGTAGAAAATGTATTTATAGCTGCCTCTGGATGTAGTTTATTTTATGGGCATGTCTCCTTTATTTGTTCTCTTTATTAGTAGAAAAGTGATACAAACAACATATAACAAGCATCATAAATTGCTAAGGTTAAAAACAACAGATAAGGGATTCAGACGTGCATATATCTAGGGCATACAATAACAGAACAATACAGCCAAAAAAAGAGAATAATAAATAAAAATAAGGATATTACAGAGTTTCCTGAGTTGAGCTGAGTTTCCCTGCCAGTCAGTCAGAACTGAAGAAGTCCTTTGGATGAGGGACGAAACGTCTTCCAGTATCTTCAACCAAGTCCAGTTGCCCTTGACTTTAACCTTCGTTGGATATTACAGAGAGACCTTCAAGCGAGTGCAGGCAACAAGTATCTTCAGAGCCTTTTTGTTGAAAGAGAAACGGATTGTTCTACAATAAAGTTCAATTTCTTTCTCAAGGATTATAAATAGGGTTTTTTTTGTTTGTAAATTTGTGTATATGAAATTTAGCCAAATACAACATAAAATTGTTTATTATGATTGCAGTGTTGCTTTTTTTCATTAGTGAAAAGCCCCCAAAAGGACTTTTTGCCAGAACAAGCTGATTTATCAATGTGCAAACATCCTGCCAGAAATGTTTTGCATAAGTACAGTGCCAAAACAAAAGTAATGTAATGCTTGGTGGGGTCATTTTAAAGGATAGTTCCTTAACCTTGTTTAGTAATTATTGATTGGGCAACTTCCAGAGTTTTTCTGCAGCACAGATCATTCACAAATGGTTCCACTAAAAACTGACATATGGTTTAGATACTGTGTATGTTGTTGGAACAAGGGTGCAGTCTCGTTTATGGTTTTTCAAATTTGCTTTACATCCTGACACCTCGTCCCCTCTCCTAATAAGAAACGGCGTCAGTTTGTTCAGAAAATTAATACACACTGGAAAGGCTGCAAAGCAAGAGACTTACTTTGAATGAGATTCTTATACAAGCCAGCAAGGGTCGCCAAGTTTATTAAGCCCCGCCCCATCTAGACAGCCATTGGTTGACAGCTCCGCAGCGTCATCAGGCTGCGTTCAGGTCCATCGGAAATACGAGAGATTGTGTCTTATGTGGTTTTTCCACACACAAACACTAAATTAACTTTGACTTTATTATTATCCAAAAGGAACTTTATTTTGCAAACAGACATTAAAAACACAGGTGACATTAATCTACTGATGATAACAGCAACAAGCAATAGTCAAAGATATAAAAGTATGTAAAAAGTAAATAGATGTAAACTAATATAAAAGACTGAGGTAAACTCAAACATCAGTGTGTCCAAATAACCATAAGCGAACCACTTTTTAATGGAATTTAAATAATTGAACAACTACGGGGGGCTTTTCATATTATTATGTTTTTTCTCATCTGTTTTTAGTTTCAAAGCATGAACAAAAGAAGCTACGTCAAAGTCAGCTGCCACTATAATCAGAGCATAACATCATAACTAAGACTCAGTCAGTAAATTTAAAGGAGGAGACAGAACAGCAAAAAAGAAACAGACGAAATAAAGGGGTGAATACCACAACATACAATCCCACTGTGGACCAGGATCAATCATACAGGACTAGCTTGTTGATATTCTTCTCGGTTTAAGCACTTCAAGGGCACCAAAAGCGAAATGTAGGCTACAACTCAGGTATAGTACCAAAACAAAATGCACCTAAACATGGTCAGACTGTTGAGGGGTCCCAGAGGCCTCCTTGTATCTAGCTCAAGGCCTCTTTGACATTTGAAAAGGAGGTGCAAGGCATCCTCAACCTCTAAGTCACCCAGGACAAGAAACACTATTTAAACATCTATAACTTTATCTTAGGAAGTTGTTTGATTGAATCAAAAAGCTTCAGCTGCGTCACTGAATGGACTTTGTGGTTAGATTGTGTTGTGTAAAACCTTTTGGCCAGCAGATGGCTTCAAACCTCTTCAAAGTTTCTTCTCATATTCAGTCTGTACAAACAGATCAGGGAGATTCCCCGAAGCACATGAACTTGTTCACACAGCCAACAGAAAACCCAATTTACTAACCAGCTGCTCTGTTATGTGTTTACACCAGTACATTTGATAAGAGACCATTCAAATATTTACATAAACATTTTTATGAACACTCTGGGTAATATACACCAATCAGCCATAACATTATGACCACTGACAGGTGAAGTGAACGTTGTGTCCTCATAGTTGATGTGTTAGAAGCAGGTAAAATGGTTGAGCGTAAGGATTTGAGCATCTCCAGAATCCAATGGAGCATCTGTGGGATGTTGGTAAAGCAAGTCTGATCCACGGAGGACCCACCTCACAACTTAGGACTTAAAGGATCTGCTAATAATGTCTTGGTGCCAGATACCACAGCACTCCTTCAGAGGTCTAGTGGAGTCCATGCCTCTACCGGTCAGGGCTGTTTTGGCGGCAAATGGAGGACCTACACAATATTAGGCAGGTGGTCATAATGTTATGTCTGATCGGTGTACATTTAATCTTTACCACCTGTTGATTTGCCTTCAGATCAACCCGAGATGTTCACAGAGGAAGGGGTCGGCCTCACAGAGGAACTCAATCATCTCTGAACTAGCAGCTTCACCTTTCTTCCTCACTGTGTCGATAACAAAACGAGCTTTGTCTCTTCTGTTCTGCATCTCGTCCGCTGACTCCCTCTCAGCTTCAGCTATCACCGTTTTCTCAAACAGTTTGTCCAGCAGACTTGTGAGAACCGGTCCTGATATCCCATCGATTAAGTTGCTCCGTATGTCCAACAGCCTCTTATCTGAAGAGAGATTAAGAGAACTCGGCCCTGGTGATGCATCTGCAAAATGATCCTCTTTGAAAGAAAGACGGTGAAGCTGGTCAATGTCGCCACAGTTCAAATTAGACTGAGGATCAGGGCAATAATTCAGGGCGTGGTCACGAGAAGAGGCAGAATTACCTCTGCGAATCCTGGACAGAGCCCTCCTGATGCTTCTGGCTGCTCTGCTGAAACATGACGCTTCTCTTTCTGATCTTTCACGTTCAGCAGCTGAATTCATTTGGCTGCGTTCATTAGAGTCACAGTCAGAGTCAGAGGAGGTGAGGCAGCAGCAGCAGACGCCAGGAGACGACCTCCTGTGTGACTTTCTGGACATGTTGGTGACTCACCTCTGTGTTTCCTCCGTGGTTTCTATCTCATTTAGACTTCCTCCAAACCAGCTGAACTTCAAATGACCTGGGATTTTTTTTGTTTTATATTTATCTCTGAGAGTTTTTACTGTGTTCGAACACTCCTCTATTTGGTTGTGTCTCCTGCTCCCATACCCTGAAATAACATTTCAAAAATGTAAAACTACCACAAACTTTCATTCAAAACATTACACTTCTGTACGTCTGTATACACATATAACCACAAATGTAGACCTGGTTTAGCAGACAGTATGTTGCTGGTAAAAGAAAGTAAGACAGAAAGTAAAAGATAGACGACTGACCCATCTATGAGCTTTAAGAAACTACTGGAATAAAACTGCAACTTATAAGAAAAAAAGAAATCAGATAGAGACTTTTATCTTATCTTCCTCTGTAATAAACACTGGTTGAATGTAACCATGTACTTTCTCTAAAGTACTGCAATTGAGCACAAAGGTACTTTAAATAAATTTTTCCACCTTGTGGTACTTTCTACTTCACTACATTTTGTACTTTTTTATTTATAATATTTATTTGACAACTTCAGTGACTAGTTACTTTGCAAATTTAGATTATTAATGCAAAGTAAAAATCAACATTCAAACAATTTCTAAACTATAACAAACTATAATCCAATAATCGGTAAAAACATGGTAACAGTCTTTTAAAGAGGCGGTTTTATGCTAATTTTCAGGTTCACAATCTACCAGAACAGGTTTAAATGGTTTAATTTACAAAAACACCATATTTTTTGTCATACTGCACATTGCTGCAGTTCCTCTTTTCACCCTGTGTTGAAGGCTTCGTTTTAGCTATGGAGTGATACATCTTGTCTCCAAATGATCTTTGTTGGGAGTTGCACATTAGAGACCTGCGCGGTACTGTTTTCTTGATCCTGCTCCCGCTGATTTTGTGACCATACTGCCCATTCCCGCAACATTGTGTATCCACTCCCACCCGCACCCGCAAACATTGTGACATGCAGAGTAAAAAAAGAAAGGACACAAATGTTTGGGCTGCGCTAAACGCCTGTGTGATGGAAACCAGCCAGGCTGTGCAGTGAGTAAACCTCAGTCCTGACACCTTACGAGACATCCTGGCGACTGACAATAGTGGCCATGAGGTTTAGCTCCCTCGTCAGCGTGTCTGCCTCCCGTACCCGAAGTCGCCGGTTTGAGTCAGTCCCATGAATTATGTTCTCGTGAGCAGTCGTATGTGCTCTTTTTATTGTTCTTTTCAACTTCGTTTGTTGTTATCAGCACTACTGCGAGATCCGCAGTATATCTTTTAACCGCCCGCTCCTGCCCGCAGCAGAGTTAAAACCGCCCGCTCCTGCGATTGCACATTCGCAGTTCCTAGTTAAGAACTACTAGCCAATCAGAAGCAGAGAAGGGCGGGTCAGCGAGAAGCCACAGCTTCGGTTCAGCTGTACATGTTGCCGACCAGCTTGGCAACATGGACTGGAGCAAGAGTTTCAGAGTGGTGAGTTATTAATCTGTAACAAAAGTATCTTTCATCCGTAAAGTTTTAACTGAGCTCTGTCTCTACATCACAGGAACAACTTTATGTCCACTGACTGCCTGGAGGGTAGCTAGTGTTTGGAAGGGAGAGGAGAGCTGTGTGCTGCAGCTCGCTGTTTCTGAGGGCGTGTCGGAGTAGCCGCTTGGCGAGCGTTACATGAGGCGCATTTAACCCTGTGACATCACAGGAATGAAATGGAAGCTCTTTTCAGGAAGTCCAGAGCAGAGTTTTGTGTGGGAGGTGGAAACTCCCTTTGGGGTGGACTTTGGGCTTTTTCACTTTGCAAACTTATTACATGCACAAAAAGATACATAACTCAATAAAGGAGAGGGAAAAAGACAAAAAGCATAATATGACCTCTTTAAAATCTATCCTACAACAGCTTCAGCACGTAACTCTCCTTCAATACCACAAACTCACTCAAACCTTGTTTTTCACCCGGGGGGTGTGCCTTACTTCCTGCATCACAGAGAGCGTTATGACTGACTCAAACAGAACTGGGGGGTTTTTGTGATCATTGGTTTCCAAAAAAAAACTTTTGCTTCTTGTGCTGCTGTCACGGCTGAAATCATGACAAGACTTTACTGCACACATATTCAAATGACTTTTACCTGACTTTCGATAATTTAATAGTGGTAAAAAGAAATGACATAGATGGACTAAATTATGTCCACAACAACAAAAATCTACTCCAATCGGGGGATCTGTATTCTGATATCAAAGTAGTATCTTGCATTACCTGATAATAACGAGGTAATTTAAGTTAACATTTGCACAATAATAGAGGCTACTATCAGCGTAACACCTTCAAAATCACATGTACATTTTTGGAAGTCAAATTTGTAATTAGGTCTACCACCTTATGATGTTGAAATTCATCCTCTCATATGTTCCAAACATTTCCTTTTGATTCAAGGTAATACTGTAAATTATAGGTTTAATGCTGTGACTTGTAACCTGCAGACACATGTTGTAGTATCTGTGTAATAACCCTGAATCTGCAGCAAATACTAAACTTCCTGTCTTTATTTAATTTCATGGTTACATCCTCTATTGCACAACATAGTGACAAGTTAAAGTACAAATACTGTGCGACTAGTCAAAGTCATGTATAAAAGTTTACCTTTGGTGTTTTTCCATTACCAGTACAAGCTCAACTCGCCTCGACTCTCCTCTGCTCGACTCTCCTCTGCTCGACTCTCCTCTGCTCGACTCGGTTTGGCGTTACTCCGTTTTCCATTGGAGATAGTACCCAGAGATTGTACCTCTCAGTGTAGCTAGTCGTCATAGCGACATCACAAACAACTGTCGCAACATAATGTTCAATGCGACACACACACACCAGCGACCCACATACAGCTGTCTCAAAGGGAGTTCCCATCTCCCACAGAAAACTCTGCTCTGAACTGCCTGAAAACAGCTCGTTTGTAGTCCCCCCGCTTCCCTTTCATCCCTGTGACGTCACAGGGATGAAAGGTTAAACGCACCTCATGTAACGCTCGCCAAGCGGCTACTCCGACACGCCCTCAGAAACAGCGAGCTGCAGCACACAGCTCTCCTCTCCCTTCCAAACACTAGCTACCCTCCAGGCAGTCAGTGGACATAAAGTTGTTCCTGTGATGTAGAGACAGAGCTCAGTTAAAACTTTATGGATGAAAGATACTTTTGTTACAGATTAATAACTCACCGCTCTGAAACTCTCGCTCCAGTCCATGTTGCCAAGCTGGTCGGCAACATGTACAGCTGAACCGAAGCTGTTTACGGGCTTCTCGCTGACCCGCCCTTCTCTGCTTCTGATTGGCTAGTAGTCCTTAACTAGGAACTGATCATGTGCAACTCCCAACAAAGATCATTTAGAAACAGCATGTATCACTCCATAGCTAAAACGAAGCCTTCAACACAGGGTGAAAAGAGGAGCTGCAATGTGCAGTATGACAAAAAATATGGTGTTTAAAAAAAAAAAAATTAAACCATGTAAACCTGTTCTGGTACAATAATAACATAACATGTGAAAATTGTAAAATCAAATGTAAGTTCCTTTGGATAAAAGCGTCTGCCAAATGAGTAAATGAAAATGTAGATTTTAACTAACACTTCCTCGTGTGATATGAATAAACCAAACTCAGACAAATTAACTTCCTATAATCTTCTTTTCTACCAAACTCACAAACACACTTCTAATTGTAAGTTTTATCCATTTAGTAAGCTGCACAGGAGGAGTTCAGTTCTCAAACATTGAAAGAAAAAAAAAAGTTGTTGGTTGATCAGCTTGTGGTTTCAAATTTCTGCGTCTGTTTCCTCCTCCTTCTTTTTTTTCCAACATGTTCACAACAACAAAGTTTCACAGGCTGAATTTTAACAAGAGAGTTATTATGTCTGACTAATAAAAAACAACAAAGCCTGCAGGCTAGCAGTCAGTCTGTGTTATGGTACACACATCACTATGATATTGGTGTTATATCCTGATGAGGACCAGTAGCTTCTCTGTAACATTTGTACTTTCTCTGTGACAGTTTGTAAATTGCAAATGAGTCCTTGTTCCTTGCTGTTAGGGCGACCCCTACTGCAACTAATTTACAATAGAGCAGTGATTCCCAACCTGGAGGTCTGGACCCCTGCAAGGTCATAAGATGATGAACAGGACTAGATTAAGTAGAACTAGACTAGATGAAAAACTTAAGTATTAAATATTGTTTCTTAAGAGTTAAACTTTCACTCTTGAACATTTGTAATGCCACATTTTTATCAGCCATCATGATTGTTAATGGTATTCTTGAACAACACTGGATGTTTTTAGGCTGATACTGACATCAACATCTGAGAGATTAGAACGTCTAATGTTGGCTTAATTACTTAGACAACACACACACACACACACACACATATATATATATATATATATATATATATGTCACCTATCTGCCAGCAGATGGCTCTAAACACCCCAAAGATTCTTCTCATATTCAGTCTGTACAAACAGATCAGGGAGATTCCCCGAAAGCACATGAACTTGTTCACACAGCCAACAGGAAACCCAGTTTACTAACCAGCTGCTCTGTTATGTGTTTACGCCAGTACATTTGATCAGAGACCATTCAAATATTTACAAAAACATTTTTATGAACACTCTGGGTAATATACACCAAACAGCCATAACATTATGACCACAAACTTTACCACCTGTTGATTTGCCTTCAGATCAAGCCGAGATGTTCACAGAGGAAGGGGTCGGCCTCACAGAGGAACTCAATCATCTCTGAACTAGCAGCTTCACCTTTCTTCCTCACTGAGTCGATAACAAAACGAGCTTTGTCTCTTCTGTTCTGCATCTCGTCCGCTGACTCCCTCTCAGCTTCGGCTATCACCGTTTTCTCAAACAGTTTGTCCAGCAGACTTGTGAGAACCGGTCCTGATATCCTCGATGAAGCTGCTCCGTATGTCCAACAGCCTCTTATCTGAAGAGAGATTCAGAGCGCTCGGCCCACAGGACCTTTTTACTCCAGTGAGACAAACTCGTCTTTCCCAGACACTGTGGGAGCTGTTGGTGTCTCTCAGAAACAGCTTCACGTGTTTCCTCATTGTTTCTAAAATCACCTGGAATGATGGGAAGTAGTTGTCGTAGTTGTCGCAGTCAAACTCTGCTTCTGTTGGTTGAACTAGAACTGAGTCCTCTGCAGGACAAGTGGACAGTGTGTATTCCTGCTTTGGCTGCAGTTTACAGTGTGGGGACGTCTCTATGTAGCTCTCATCTCCAACTAATTTCTTCCTGGTTCGCAGCACATCCCGGAGCACCACGTTCCTCGGTAGCAGCAACACGTTGAGGAGGGATTCAGCGTCGGGATCAGCCGGGGGCCTGTAGAACAGCAGAACCAGCGCTCGGACCGGGTCAGACGGCGAGTCTTCATCCTTGACATTACCGAAACCAGAAAACCCTGTGATGTTTATAACAACGTGAGTTTCTGTGATCTTCTGAGGGCCGATAAACTCGATGCCCTCGTCGTTCACATGAGCGACTGACAAGAACTCACCTCCACCTGTGGAGCGGATCTCACAGTGTGGGAGATGAAGCCGACACACAGACTGCTGCAGACATTTGATGTCAAACAGGGGTCCTGCAGGCTGCTTGTGGTGTCGGGCCAGTAGCCTCCTGTTCCAGGGGACGATCCTGTAAACCACGTCCCCTTCTCCCTCCATGTGGAACAGCAGGC